CTTTGTATGATCTAATATGGTCTCCAAATTTTCGATAAAGAAACAGCATTATCTTTTCTTTATCGGTTAACATTTTTAAAAAAGAAATTTGAAATTGTAGTTGGAAAAAGAAAGGGAAAAGACAAAGAGTAAGATGCGAGAGAGCACGACTCGTTTTTAAAATACAAAGATCGAGAAGCGTTATCGTGAAGCGCGAGTATGCGCGAGTTTTGACTGAGTACGTGTGATATTACGTCGTGAATGAATAACCGCGTTCGATGCGAGCGAATGAATAACTAGGCTGGGAGCCTAAAAAACATAAACACAGGAGAAAAACAAGAATAACTTTGTTTTTCGTGTCTCGAGCTACACGATATGACCGGCTTAGTTGTTCATTCGCTCTCATCGAACGCGGTTATCCATTCACGACGTAATATCACATGTACTCAGTCAAAACTCGCGCATACCCGCGCTTCACGATAACGCTTCTCGATCTTTGTATTTTAAAAACGAGTCGTGCTTTCTCGCATCTTACTCTTTGTCTTTTCCCTTTCTTTTTCCAACTACAATTTCAAATTTCTTTTTTAAAAATGTTAACCGATAAAGAAAAGATAATGCTATTTCTTTATCGAAAATTTGGAGACCATATTAGATCATACAAAGAAGTAACTATACGAATCTACACATTCAATGCTGCATATCCTGATCGCAATTTGATGTGTAAATCCACCGTTCAGAAGACAGTGATACGTTTTTACGAAATAGAAACAGTTAAAGACCAAAATCCTTTCAATCCTCATAACTCTAATATGCCTAATAAAAAAATACTGTATTATAAGTTTTTGGAAAACCCTTGAAATAAGCTACAAGAATATGTAATAAAAAGTGGGAGGCCCAATTTAAAAAATTCAATTTGACCTTCGTATGACCTTCGTCCTTCACCCAAAGTCAAATTTTTAGCCATCATTAGATACATTTTATTAAGCTCTACAACTTTACTACTTACATATTTTTCGCTACGGTTGATCCTTTTCGAGATATTTGATCGTTTCCGGACTTTTTGCCGGGAGCGGTGCACTTGGACACGGTGCATTTGGACACAGCCAATCACAGCACCGTGTGATTAGAGACATTTGTAGGGTCCCTTGGAACAGCGACTTGTGATTGGACTGTGTCCAATTGCCCCGTGTCCAACTGATATACACCCCTTTTTGCTAACCCTGTGTGTGTGTGTGTGTGTGTGTGTATATATGTGTATACAGTAATAGCGTGTTCGACTGGCCCTGGGTTAATCGCCTCGAGAACGATTAATGACATCATAAGTTTCTACTAGCCAATCATAAAGCTTATAAGTACTTATTCGACCAATAAATGTAGGCTGAATAATCTAGAGTGGGTTAACCCAGAGTCAATCGAACATGCTTAAGTGCATTAAAGTGCCAGTGCGTGACATGTACCTAACCTGGATAGCTGCTTCCTTACCTGTGTAAACTGATATTTTCATTTGCAGCTACTTTTTTCGCATAAATAGCATCTCCGAATGCTCATGTTTATAGCATATGGTATATATAACCTATTACATGCAACTTTGTACAATATATTTTAATTGGCGGATACGATCTATCTAACGCATACGCATAATAGAGGATTCACACCGCGTCCGATGTCCGACGAACGACGTCCGACATCCAATAGGAGAACAGCTTTCGGTAATTATTCAGTTTAGCTGCCTCACCTCCGATTTCGATGAATGTAGGCTCATTCGAAAGGTATTTGCACGAGCAACAACTTTTTCCTTTAAGAAAATCGGGGTTCTGCCCCACGAAGCGAGATATTAATCGATAAAGTTGAAGACGCGTTAGGGTAATTGTTCAGAAGAGCTACCTCACCTCCGATTTTAATAAAAGAGAGCTCAATCGACGCGTTTGTACATGCCAAATTTTTTCCTCTGACAAAATCGTCGCGATTAATATCTC